TCACCTTACACGAAATAGGGTGAATACATCGCATACTACTGATTTACTGGTAGTCTCGAAACGAAAATGTATATCGACTCTTCACACTCTTATCCCATCGCGGCCCTATCACAACCTCTCACTTGTTTACATTCCACTCGTCAAAATGTGTGCCCCTTTGTGGCAAACCGAGTGTGGCCTCATCACACTTTCTATTCACACCGATCCCTCTCTTTCGATGGGCTTATTTGATTCGGGCCTCCAACCAGGATCCTTTCATTGTCTCGTGGATCCGTTCCTTTTCTTTCTGGTTGACCGATTTCACTCGGGTCCTGTCGCGGTGTACATTTCACTCAAGCGCTATTTGTCAAGGCCCTAGAAAGGAGACTGCAACCATAACAGAGGCCACAACATCTTGGTTTTCATATATTCTCTTAGGTTTATGTCTGCAGGTCTCCTGCGCATTGATGCCACCGCCTGAGGAGAAAACTTTGTGGCGGCCCGAGTTGAAGCGAGCGTTGAAAACGGGTTTTATGCTCATGTTGTGGCGTCCTGTCGAGGCGGACATGACAGATTCCACAACGCCGCTCCTGCTCGGTCTTCCAAGTGGAGCATGGTTACGACGCAACTCCATTTTTGACTGGCTCGGTGTTTGCATTTTGCTTTTTTTGTGCGTCTCCTTGACGACTTGTCGTTGACTCTACTTCACAGTAGGAAAATTCTCTCCTACCAACTGGCTTGCCGCAATTATATTTCATTATTTCATGTTTCCTTTCTCAGTCCCTGCCTTGTGCGATTCATCTTCGAGCTTGCATGCAGTTCTCTGAGTCTGCGAAAGCAGTTGGCCTGCACCAATGGCCTGCTCCTCTTCTCCAATTCCCTGTTGCTCGGCTCCGTCGCGTCCGTTGAGGCGTCGAGCACGGCGAAAATCTCGCCGCTTCGCAACAAGTCTTCACTGCACTCGCTGGACGGCCAGTCTGGGGATGGCGATTCCGAGGTATGAACTAGCCCCCCCCCTTCGAGAATTGAGTTGACCTCTTCTTTATACATTGCTCCAACTGGCCTGTTCCGGCCTCGAACTATCTTTTTTCTAGAAGTGGCTTGACCTCGTTGTCGCAACTTGGTCTTGTTGTCAGGGCGAATTGGTCTTGTTGTCAGGGAGACTATGTAGAACGCACCTAGTCCGAAGTCGTCTGCCATAGTAGTTGCTGATTCCCAGCATCTGACAGTGGACTTGATACATTCTCAAACGTTTCGCCGGCATCGTAGTCGGCATCATTAGCCAGTTTTGCCACGAAATCGTCAAAGATTGACTTCACTTGTCTCTTTGCCGAGTTCGAAGGTTGGTTCGGAGAATGGCAAAACGGACGACGCCAGCGAAACTTTTGAGAATGTACCAAGTCCACTGTCAGGTGCTGGGAATCATGACAACTACAATGGCAGACGACTTGGGACTAGATGCGTTCTGCATAGTCGCCCTGACAACAGGACCAAGTTGCGACAACGAGGTCAACCCACTTCTATCAATCGAAAGGAGACTCTGACCACACCAGAGACCACAACATCTTGGTCTTCATATATCTTTTTTCTATCGCATAATTGGCTTCTACTAACACTCTGACTATCACCAGCCACTGGACTTTGATTATTTGTTGAGAAAGCCTCGTTTAGTTACCATTTGCTTATTCGGCATTCCACTTTCAATTAACTGTCGGATCAGCCTGATTTATGTGCAATTAAGGTGCAGTTTAGCCTTTCTTTCTGAGCCGCCCTACTGCCTGGCAAAAAGGGAAATGATTTGATTCAATGTCCGAACGAACGCTTGTCCAGCTCTTCGTCGCCAATGACACAATGCTCTTGGTTGCTTCGCTTCTCTTCTGTTGAGCGGAAGACGCGGGTGGCAAGAGTCGAAGGTGGATTTTGCCAGAAGACGGCCGCCAGGGGATTCCTCTTGACCAACTGTCGATTGGATTTACTGGAACATATGCGAAGAAAAATTGGGTTCCGAGGAATCTCTTGTTTCATAATATTTGAGCTTACTTCCATTTCGAATGAAATAGGTTGGGGGTGAAGAGATTCGAAGGTCGGTTCCACCAGAAGATGACGTTGGATTCCTCTTGACCAGCTGTTGATTGGCTTTACTGGAACATTCATGCTGACGCTGTTTCCGAGGCAATCTCCTGCGATTCCGGTGAAAAGGTGCTAAGCTTTT